CATGGACTTAACAATTATCAAATATCAAATGAAACGCCCGTAGTTCCATGCTGTGTTTATGTTTTAAGACAAAATGGTTTAAAAACTTAAACGATTTAAAAATAGCAACACTTAAAAGACAATTTCCCAAATCGCTGTATATCTTCGGGTTGTCATGGTGGCATTTACATGTATTGCAAGAGAAGCTAAATGCAATATCTTCCAGATTAACCCACATTAATGGCACCCAATCATTTAGCCCGGTGTTTAGCAAAAGTTGGTCAATTGTTTTGTATAATTCTGTTTGGTCATAAGGGAGTGTCTAAGTCCATTAGGTTATTAGAAAAGCTGAGTATCTATGGTGGCCCAAAACTGTCACATGATAAAGACGAAATATAAAGAGATGAAAGAAAATATAATCCAAATAAGATATAATCCAAATAACTAAAGATACCAACTAGAACTACTGTATTATATTACAACTATTATATTATATTATATAAATAACGTTATTTATAATAACAAGTAGAATTATTAATATTATATAAATAGTAACGTTATTTAAAATAACAACTAAATAACAATTATATTCTATAAATGAGGTTATTTAAAATAACAAGTACAACTATTATATTATATAAATAATAACATTATTTAGAGTAACAACTAAATCTATTATATTATATAAATAATAACTATTATATTCTATAAATAACGTTATTTAAAATAACAAGTACAACTATAAAAAATAACGTTATTTAGAAAAACAAGTACAGCTATTAAATTATTATAAATAATAACGTTATTTAAAAAAAACAACTACAACTACTGTATTACATAAATATTAAAGTTATTTAAAATAACAACTATTATATTACATAAATATTAAAGTTATTTAAAATAACTACTACAATTACTATATTATATACATAATATAATTATATTATATAAAAAACGTTATTTCGAATAACAAGTACAACTATTATATTGTATAAATAATAACGTTATTTAAAACAACAAGTACAACTAATATATTATATAAATAATAACATTATTTAAAATAACAACTACAGTGATTATATTATTTAAATAATAACGTTATTAATATATATATATATATATATATATATATTTCAGGAAATTGTCAAGCTGTAATAAAAAAAAAAATCAATCTGACGATGCTGTTGCTTCAAAGTGTGTATAATTTTTTTAATGTAAATATTTAGATCTACACACTGGAAGAAGCATACCTCCCCACCCCCACCACAAAGACTCTGATCCGATTTCATTTTATGTGTCAGACGTGGGCTACCATACTATTCTCTAATTTCGCAACCAGTCCTTTATTACTGTAAGGTGCAGTAAATGACATGGCCTATAATAATGGTACTAATGAATATTATCCGGCCAAATAATGGTTATTGGACGGCCCAGAGTCAATGTATTGTCGACAGCTTTTAATCAGATTGCTTTCTGCGAGATTAACGGTGCCGTGACTATATATATAGTGCGGGTCACAAAATGGTCGTGTGTATAATTTGTTTAGTATTAAAGGCACAACGAGACAGGTTTTTCATATATTTTACAAAGGTCAACAACTTTACTATTTTATGTAAAGGCTATTGTTATTATGTAACTAAGAACATTCGAGAATGAGTAAACCCTCACAAAGAATGGGTTTGCTTACATGAAATTATTATTACATTTGTTTAGGGAGAGAGAAAAAAAAATGGGGTTTAACGTCCACTCGACACAAGCTAGGTCATTTCGGGACTAACATATGGTTCTGTTTTATTTCAATAATTCGTTTGCGCGTAGGGGTCTGAACAGACGGACCGTAAACACCATTTCATTTTCTATTTTTTGTTTGGTTTAATCTAATGTTTCCCTTCTATCAGATACGGTTTTTTTTTAAATGGAGGTTTGTGGGGGGGGGGGCGAATGGTTAGCACGTGCGCGCGGTATCATAAGGTCTGTCATTGAGTCAACTGGCGCGGTTTCCATTCCCCGGTTGTACGTCACAAGGAGGAGTAGGCCCGCCTGCCCAACCTTGTGGGTTTTCTCCGGGTTTCCCCCCCCCCCCACTGCTAAAGAACCCTACGCGCAAGCATATTAGTGAAATAAAATTAGACATATGTTAGTCCCGAAATGACCTAGTTTCTGTCAAGTGGACGTTAAACCCCATTTCCCCCTCTCTCTCTTTTTGTTAAATACGTGCGCGGTAATTAAACGCAACACTGGCTATTGCTTTCAGTCATCGTTGTTTTAATTCAACAAGATAGTCTGGCATCAATATAATATATACTGAGCGCCATGGAAAACGCATCACTTAGTTTTTCGTATAACAAAATGATCCTGTAAACATATCTTATTTATTTTGCTTCTTATTGTGAACAATATTCAAATGGGAACACATCAATAACAACACATTTGTACACTTATGGACGTTTAATCTGTAATCAACGGTACAAAGTCAGGGGTCAAAACCGAAAGTACGACACAGATGTCAGTAGCGCGTGTGTCCTCCACGGGCTCTTACGCACGCTGTGCAGCGACGTCGCATGGAATTTACCAATGTTTGAAAGAAGGCTTGGGGCAAATTCTTCCATTCTTGGACAAGTGCAGCTTCTAAAGCAGCAATGGTGTGCATCTGTGGTCTCCGATACAGACGGCGTCTAATCTCATCCCAGACATGTTCTATCGGTGCCATGTCCGGAGACATGGCTGGCCAGTCCAAGACATTGATGTTGTTAGCAGCCAGGTAGTCCATACTAAAACGTGAGGTATGCGGACGTGCATTATCCTGTTGGAAGTGCTGAAGTTGTGGGTGCGCTCGAAACATCAGAACAACAATTGGTTGCAAGACATCATCACGGTAGGCTACAGCATTAACGCGACCCCTGCAAATGTGTAGGGCGGTCCGGTGATGAAATGTGAAGCCTCCCCACACCATTACACTTCTCCCACCCCATCGATTCGTTTCGAAGACGCAGCAGTCTGCAAGACGTTCCCCAAGACGTCTCCACACACGTTGACGGCCATCAGCGTGATAAAGATGAAAGCGACTCTCATCACTGAAGAGCACACTTTGCCAGTCTACTCTTCTCCATGTCTGGTGTCCTTGAGCCCATATCAAACGCCGCTGACGGTGATGAACCCTGAGGATAGCTCCAAAATAAGGTCGTCGTGCACGGAGTCCTACTTTTCTTAGACGACGTCTTACGGTGTTGGCACTTACTGGTCCTTGTCTTCCGACGACTGCTGCACCTGTTCGAGTCGCTGGGCGGAATCTGTCACGCAGATGAGTGACCCGGATGTAGCGGTCTTGAGCCATGGTTGTAACGCGTTGTGGACCAGGACGTTGACGGTCACGTGTTGATCCAGTAACTCTAACACGTTCCACCAACCTTACAATAGTGGACTGATGACAATAGCACGTGTAGACATGCCAGCCCTTGACATTCCCATGGCTTCATTCCGTTGATTTTCAGTAAGTCTTGGCATCTCTAGCTCGATTCCTTCACACGTCCAACAACAAATTACGACAGATTGACGTTTCACAGTTCATGTACTGCACATTAAGTTGAAAACATGCTTTTTAAGGGCTCACACACTATGCTGCACGTGAATATTGGGTGTTTCATGTGCATCTCGTGCAATTTTTTTTTGCACACGGGCCGATATTTTTTTGCGTTTGGGAGCATTGTGTAAAACAATAGTTCATAGTATTTCATAATATTATACATACAAAACCACCTAGTAATAAAATATTTGGGAAAAAAAAGTGATGCGTTTTCCATGGCGCTCAGTATATTAAAAGGTCTTATACGCTCATGTGCAACAAAATTATTGTTAGCGATATGATCTACTTAAAGATACATTATCGGAGATAAGATAAAGAGATGGCAGTTCTCGCTATAATAGTTAAAAACTAGATAGTGTAAAGGTAATTTGCTGAAAATTTCAGTCAAATTGATCCACTTTGAGCCGAGAACGAAGCGGGTGAAATTTTCGCATAGTCATTACTAAAATCATTAATATAAACAGCATCGTCTCGGTTATCCACTGTTTTGATTTAATTATCAATGGCCGTTAAGCGGCATATAGGAATCTAATCCAGCCAACATCGAAGGCTAGCCTTGACATCGACAGTTTATTATGGTCTGGATAAATTAATTAATGTCTAATTGATAATTTAGATAACATTTCAGGCCTAAAGAAAGACTTGTAATAAGCAGATTTTGCTCTTGCATAATGCATGTTTAACAGAGAAGGGTAGCAACAGTTCTGAAAAGAGTAAGCATAGGCTACCCTGTTCCGCATACAAACGCGTCATTACATATAGTAAACTGAATATCAGTTCACAGAATGATATACGAACCACTGACAGACAATTATGTCATGTTAGAAAATCACCCGTAGTTTTTAATTGTAATATCGAAATTGTGTTATGTTATAAATTCACATAAAAATTGTAATTGTAATCTGTTAGCAAATCAACTGTAGTTTGTTATTGTAACATTATAACAAATCAACTGTAGTTTGTAATTGTATAATTTCCACATTTATGACTCGTATGAAAATCACTTTTAAGTTTAATTTGGCTTATTTTATCATTCCATTTCAGCCACCTAACAATAACATGAAGACGAATTCATTTGATATCGAAGACCCGGAAACTGAAGACGGTATGGTCACCGTAACAAGTGGGTGTCTCCCTTTGAAGAATTTGGAATCGGCGAAAGGCCGAAGAAATCATGTAGTGTTAATTCTTGTCGTTGCCCTAACGCCCGTGTTTGGTTTAATAGGACAAAATTGTGTAGCCCTCGTCAATAATTCGAACGATGTGAACGCAAAGAATAGTGTTAAAGGAGATCTGCTCTTCAGTATTCAGACCGGAAATGTTGTCCATCGCTTACAGATTGAAAGAGGCACCACGGCCTTTTATATCAGTACTAAAGGCGATCTGGAGGTTTTAGCCAGACTTAGGACCGCTTATAACTTAACTGATGAATTTATATCAAAGTTAAATAAATGGCCGTCAAATAACGACGGTAGTATGTTTGTCAGCGTGGAACGATATCGTGAACATATTTACAATTTTAGACAAACGTTGAATACACCCGTTTTGACTGTAGACGAAGCCATAGAGTTCTATTCATCAGACGTGGATATATTCATAAGTTGGACAGCTAAAAGTATCCAAAAGTCGCGTTCTGGAACTATGTGGCCAGTTTTGGTTGGTTATCATCTGCTGATGTTGGCTAAAGAGCAGGCTGGGATTGAAAGGGCACGTGGCAGTACATTCTTTTCAAAAGGTTAGTTTATTAAAGGCCTGTACACATCTAAAGATTATCGACTACAAATTATATAGTTTTAATATTTGTTTTTGTTTCTTCTAACCCTATTTATTCACTAATTATTTACACAATATACAGATGCAACAAATAATTAGGGGCTATGATAAAACCCATAGTTATATAGAGGATCTGATAAAACCCAGAGTTATATAGAGGATCTAATAAAACCCAGGGTTATATTGGAGATCTGATAAGAACCCAGAGTTATATAGAGGATCTAAGAAAACCCAGGGTTATATTGGAGATCTGATAAGAACCCAGAGTTATATAGAGGATCTAATAAAACCGGGAGTTATATTGGAGATCTGATAAAGCCCAGAGTTCTATAGAAGATCTGATAAAACCCAAAGTTATATTGGAGATCTGATAAAGCCCAGAGTTATATAGAGGATCTGATAAAATCCACAGTTCTGTAGGAGATCTAATAAATCAATCCAGAGTTATATAGAGAATCTAATAAAACCCAGCGTTATATTGGGATCTGATAAGAACCCAGAGTTATATAGAGGATTTGCTAAAACCAAGAGTTATATTGGAGTTCTGATAAAGCCCAGAGTTCTATAGGAGATCTGATAAAACCCAGAGTTATATTGGGGATCTGCAATAGAAAAACCAGAACTAAATATGTTGGTTATAATTCATTTAGCCAATTCTCGCGAGCAAGATATAATTAATTAGATATAATAGTTAGAATGTTTGGAATTTAAGTGTCAGTCACCCACCTTTCGAATGAGTTGATATAGAATTCGAGTTTGTCCCCCCTGATGGTGGCGACCCGCTAAAGTCATAATCACAGTGAGCCTTCAAAATAGACATAAACACATCTATTGTCATATAAGTATTGTTTTATATAACTAACATAATTATATATATATATAATCCACGGAGGGGGGTCGTTTTATTTATTTTCGTAGTAAAGTAATTTGCTTAATAATATACAAACACCCACACCTATTATCAAACGACTAATAGGCCGACGTATTTAATCAATAATAGAGTTTTAACATTTCTCTTTCTTTTAATGGCTTGACATTATTTTCTTATTATTTCGAACAGAACTGACAAAAATAAAATGCTTTGTCTATGTTGTTTCAAATAATGTGCCCTCATATTTGTAATAAATGTACCCTGTGTTATTGAAAGAAATACATTTATTTAATCGAAGCTCACCCAGACAGGTTTTTAATAAATAAATGATGGTATTATTTGAAAACATTAATTCTCTGCTAATGTTTTTGTTACTGTAAAGTTATTTCCTTCTTGGAAAATGCTGTAAATATGATTTTATAGATAAATATGTATGCTTCAAAAACTGATGGGGAATCTAAATGAGCAAAATCGATAAAAAGTAATGCATGCGTCGGATTTAAAAAAGAAAAGGCAAATATTTAGGTGAAACGGGTGAAACGTTATCTATGACAATAGCTCTTGTATAAATAACTAGAACATATTGATACTCGAATATCTGTCTTCTTTCATCATAAGGGTGGGGGTCGGGGGTCGGGGGGTGTATCATAAGGTCTGTCATTGAGTAAACTTCCGTGGTTTCGATTCCTCGGTTATACGTGACAAGGAGTAGGGTCGCCTGTCCAACTTCGTGCGTTTTCTCCGGGTCCTCCGGTTTCCTCCCACCGCAAGCGAATTATTGAAATAAAATTGAACCATATGTTAGTCCCGAAATGACTTAGTTTGTGTCGAGTGGACGTTAACCCCCTCTCTCTCTCTCTCTCTCTCTCTCTCTCTCTCTCTCATTATAATGATAAATAACTATACAGTATAAAGTTTACCAAATAACGCATGAATTTCTAAGATCATATATTCGTTTAACTTTTTCTTTTTTCTGGCAAACTGTGAAATGAAGTCGTCACTCTTCTGGCGAACCGACGAATCTGATATATTTAAGTATTGAGAATTATGCGTTCTGTTGTTATCTCTGTAGCCAACAAATAATAACATTCATTTGTGATTTAATACTTCATACATATACATCAAGACATCGAACGCCATTTACATAAATGTTATTATTTGATGGCTACAGAGATAACAACAGAACGCAAATTTCAAACGCATAATTCTCAATACTTAAATTATCAGAAACGCGACGAAATGGGTGGGATTTAACATCTTATTTTTCTGCGGACAAACTTTGAGTTGATCTATGATCAAACGACAGGTTTTAATAGGACATCCAGACGCTAATATTTAAACTAAATGAAAAACGCCAGGGCGTTTAAGCTAGGGGCATGTATCGTTTACACGTACTGTAAGTCAAGCCAGTGTAATTTGACCTCGTTTGTTAGCGTTAATTACACATGGGCACATGATACCATTTACTATATGTATGACATCTCTCTGAACACATGCTACAATCTGTAATACTTATGACATCTATCTGAACACATGATACCATCTGTATTACTCATGGCATCTCTCTGAACACATATGATACCATCTGTATTACGCATGGCATCTATCTAAACACTTGATACTATCTGTATAACTCTAGACATCTCTCTGAACACATGAAATGAAATGGGGTTTAACGTCCTACTGTTCTGCTCCGAACTGGGCTAATGAAGACAAGCATACGCCATACAGTGTGCTATGAGTGTAATTTTGCCCGGGCAGCGGCATTGCGGCCTACTCTTATATCGAATCCCAACTGTCAAGGGATCTTTTACGTGCACGCCAATGTGTACACGGGACCTCGGTTTTTCGTCCCATCCGAACGACTAGACAGCTGTACTTGTCAGGCCCTCCGTCCTGCATCACTGACAAGGGGAACCAATCCTCTGAACACGCGATACCATCTGTATTATTCTAGACTTCTATCTGAACACATATGATACCATCTGTATTACTCTAGACTTCTCTCTGAACACATGATACCATCTGTATTACTCTAGACATCTCTCTGAACACATGCTACAATCTGTTTTACATCTAACAACACATGCTACCACCCACCATCTGTACTACTCATGATACCACCTACCACCTGTACTACTCATGGCATCTATCGGAACGCATGCCACAACTTACCATCCATCTGTAGTACTCTAAACATATATCTGAACACATGATACCATTTACCATCTGTATTACTCTAGACATATATCTGAACACACTATGTCACTTCTTGTTAGTATAACCCATAGCATTTAGCAGATGTTTTGATTGATTTTTTAATATTTTTACAGGGGGCTTTAACGCAATTGAAGTATTAAAGTACTCTGAAAAGAGAATTCTAGGAGAAAATTATTTAAGGCAGGCTTCAGAATATTCACCTATCGTAAGTTCGGTTTTGACAGAAAAGTATGATGGACAGGATTTGGCCTTTAACATCAATAGCATGAAAAAGTCAATTAAGGAGAATAACCTAACAGGTCCGTCTATTGAAACGGGGCAAATGTGGTTCGGAAATATGACGCTATTTATAAACATTCTACAGGAAGCCAGTCAACTATTGGTCACGGAGATTACAGAAAGTTTATCAAATGAAATAAGTGACCTTGAACGCGAACTCGGCATTAGCATTACCATCGTCGTCGTCGCCATTTTGTTATGTCCATTTGTTGTTTTTGCTGTACATAAATTGACTCTTCGTATTCGAATATATGCGGAAAACCTTCAACAAAAGACTAAGGATCTGGAAAATGAAAGAAAGAAGAGTGAAATGCTCCTCCATGAACTACTTCCGGTTTCCGTAGCAACTAAACTATTACGTAATCAGCCAGTGGAACCCGAGTCGTTTGAGTCTGTGACTATATTTTTCTCCGATATTGTGGGTTTCACGGATATTTCCTCACGAAGTACGCCATTAGAAGTGGTAGATATGTTAAATATACTATATAAGACCTTTGACAGCTATCTCGAGATGTATGACGTCTACAAGGTTGAAACAATTGGTAAGTACGAATATACTTCATAGTGGCTAGTCTCTAATTGTGGGGTGGGATGGGGGATGGGGGATGGGGTGGCGGGTCGGTTGGATGGCCGAATGGTTAATTAATTTAGCATGTGCGCGCTGTATCATAAGGTCTGTCATTGAGTCAACTGGTAGGGTTTCGATCCCCCGGTTGTACGTGGCAAGGAGTAGGGTCGCCTGTCCAACCTCGTGGGTTTTCTCCGGGCCCTCCTGTTTCCTCCCACTGCTAAATACCCCTAAGCGCAAACGAATTATTGAAATAAAATTGAACCATATGTTAGTCCCGAAATGGCCTAGTTTGTATCGAGTGGACGTTAAACCCCACCCCCTCTAATTGTAGTCTCATTTTCATTAGCATGGATGTTCATTTCTGTAATCGAGGCAGTGACGTACAGATGTTTGGTTATGTCCGGAGCCAACTCAATGATTGTAAGCCCCCAAGGATTGTATGCCCTCCCCCACTCCCAAGTACAGAGCTTAGTACTGAAAAATATAAGAAACGAAGACGATTTAGAAACAGACAAAATTATCTTTCTTATTCAAATGAAGTAGGGCAACCTGTACACCAATGTCAAATTTAAAAACAAATTTTATTCTTGAATTGGATGCCCTACCCGCTAAAATTGGACGCTCGGGGCTGAACGCCAATGAATTGAGGTCACGTTAAATGCCATCTGTAGTACTATATATTAGGGCGAGATTTGTGCAAAAGAACACATATGTATAATAATATTATAGACTTGACTAATTATTGTTACAGATTTATAGACAATCAAAACAGCACGTGAAACAACGGATATCTATGATAATATGATACATATGTTTTATCTGTCTCCTTCATTGTCAAAATATTGGCTGTGACATGCATTTATTTGAAACGCAGACTAAATTGTTTATGCAATATTGTGAGAATAACAGGACATGGGGTCTAAGGCCAAGGATAAATTCTATTATCTAGAACACTTAAGAGGGGTTATTCCTACTGTCCATTTAAGGATAGTACTCACGTCATTAAGCTTGAGAGCCAATCATTGTGATTAATTGCGTCATATTTGGCCAATTAAGTAATAGATAGAAGATGTCCAGACATAGAAAACGATCAGAGCTATGGGCGATTTTTAAACAACCATGTAGATTTTGAGAGAGCAAATACTATCTAGAAATTCGTTGAAAGAGACCGTTGAGGTTCAAGAGGCAACATCTGGATTTAGAATGCCCCTTTAAGTCGCATGTAACCACAATCGGAGTAAGATGCGAATTCACAACGTGGAATGTCATAGTGACAATACTAGACGATCACACGGCTAATGAAATATGTATCAGAAGAGAGAGTATGCGTCACACGTTGGATTTCGGCGATGTGTGTGTATGTGTGTGAGGGGTCGCTTATCGCCAAATTATAAGAATTTAACGAATATAGTACAAAAGTATTTAAAGCCTCCCCCCCGCCGACCTTTGCATCGCTATTTGGGTTTAATTTTTAGTGTAGAATGGAAGAAGAGGGTTTACGTTGAATGTAGGACGGACAGTTGCATGTTTACTAGTTTGTGTATCTCATTTTCAAGGTGAATCTCATACATGCTTTTGAACAAAGGGATGCCACCTTTAGAAAAAAAGTTAGAGCCGATCAAAGAGACAATAATTAACATTAGAGTCCATATCAGTTGTCTCATTCCGTTCCTCTGCATGTATTCAAATTGTCTGCCCTAGGTCGTAGCTTGATTCTATACGAACCAAGCCAAACAGTTTACAAACCAGTCTTAGCCTGGCGGTTTTACGTTCACAGCAATATGCCGAGATCATTGAAGTCACGGTCGTCCATCGAATTTCTTATAGCGTGCCAGTTTGATTCCTGCACGTGCAGCATACTTACCTTTATTTACTAAAGATCCAATCGTTCTATTTAGAAACTATTAAAAATAAGACCTGATCAATATTTGAAATAATAAATATTGATTCAATTGTTGAGCAAATTGAATTGTAAATATTGACAACGACAATGCTTGATGTCAGCTAATGGTTTAACAAGCCATGTTATATAATATCACCATTGACAAAATAAACTGTTTACCAACTGTTTACTGTACTCATTCTACCCATTAATTCACGGAAGAAAGTTTTCTATATACTCGTGAAGGACAATCAGTTGTGTAATAGATTATTATCTGGTTCTTGACACGCCGCTGAAAGTGTGGCCATATATTGGAAACCATGAAATGTATGAGGGTTATGTATCTATGTTAGACCGGAGGCTCAGTGCGCGAGGGTGTCCATCAAATGGGCACAAAACCAAACCCAACTTTTCTATAGTAAAATTTTGCTTAGAATACGTTTCCGAATGGTAATCAGTTCGCCGTTGGGACGTTATTCGGGGTCAAAGGTCAAATGAGGTCATTTGCACTGAAAGTGAATGCGCAGCCATTCTTGTATCATGAAAACATGCTAAAATGATCGAAAGTAATCACTCTTTCAATAAAAATGTAAACTTCCTTAATTCACCGTTGTTCTTTATGACCCCGGCGGTCAAAGGGTCAAATTTTCCGTTTGTGGATTAGAAAAATTAAAAGCAATAAAATGTCAGCGTAAAATATAAACGATATTTACGACAGTTCGAATCGGCATTATTTTCACGAACCTTGCTAAGTAATTAAACAGTATTGGATATACACGACGTTGGTGGAAGGGACTAGGAAAAAAGGTTTTCAAATTATCACTTCCAGAGTTACATCCGATTGTTAACACTAGTATTAGGAAGTCAAATACATTGCTTTCCAGATGATACTTTGTTTCCTGGCAACGTTTTTTCTGAATAAAATAAGAGAAACAATTCTAATGATGTTGAGCTAGTTATAAATACAATATGCCAATCCGCATTGTTATTTTAGCTTCTAGATGTTTGACGGTAATTAAACTTCACTTCCTCTAGGCAAAACTTGACATTTCTTTTATATACGTCCACATTCATAATGTGGGCGTATATTGCCGTCGTCCCTGTGTGTGTGGGTGTGTGTGTGTCTGTGTGTCGCCTACAGGCCACAATTCTTAAGTGATCATCTTGAAACTATACATACTTATTCCTTATACCCCAAGGATGATCCCTATTGTTTTTGGTGCATGCCCGACCCCCAGGGGCAGAGCCATGCCCATTTTTTGTATTTCTTTGTTTGTCATCTACAGGCCGCATTCCGTTACGTATCATATTAAAACTTTGCATACTTATTCTTTGTACCCTAAGGAACATCCCTATCGTTTGGGGTGCATGCCCAACCTCCAGGGGCAGACCTACGCCCATTTTCTTCTTGTGTGTCTGTGTGTCGCCTACAGGCGGCCGCATTTCTTAAAGGATCATATTGAAATTTTTGCCTTTAGCGCCCGAAGGCCAAAATTCTGAATGGATTATGTTGGAACTTGAAATACTTATTTCTTATACCCTACGGACGGCAACTATTGATGTTGTCATTGCAATATCAAGGCGATACCTATTTATATTGTTCTATATCCTACCCCCAGGGGCAGAGTCACACCCATACACCCATTTTTTGTATTTATCGTCTACAGGCTGCAATTCTGAATGGATCACCCTGCATATTTATTCCTTATACCGTAAAGACAGCAACTATTTATTTTGGTGCTTGCCCCGACCTCCTGGGGCAGTGTCACACCCACTTTTTTGTTAGTATTTTGTCTGTAAATTTGGCAAAACAAACCCAACGCCAAGCCTTCTTTGCCTCTTATCATATTACAGCCATTTCATATTTCATTCTCTTCATTTTAAAAAGTACCATATCAATCAAAGCTGGAATGTGGACGTATATTACAGCGTTAGCGTTGCTCTCGTTCATTAAACCGTTCGTTACAGAAACACCGGGATAATCGATGGAAATCACGTTCCCAAAAACCATATCCAGGTGGCAGTTTTAATATTTTAGGTTATTATTATTTACCCTTGCGCGTATATCCTGATCGTTTGCGAGGAACTGGTTCATAATTGTCTAGCTAGAATTTTATAAATTGTCAGCTATTTAATGTCGAGTATAATGCTGCAAATAGAACGGAAGTGAGCCAGTGGCAACATTCATCATTTGACAAGAAACTGCGAGTATTACATTATCTGACAAAAGAGGTCTTGTGGACCCCCTCCCCTTTCTTTTCAACATTTTGCTGGTTACAAGTATCTAATCTGTTCTGCGCTCGGTGCTAGCTTTGCATTTGGAATCTTTCTTACTGATGATATTGTGTTGGTCATTCTAGTAATCTAGATCTGAAAGCAAATCTAGGTACTCTAGCAACCCCATCAAAAGACGATTTTACATGGAAATGACAATTAATACCTTATAATTCACATCGTTATTGTTAATACCTCAATTTTTTTTTCTTATTCTGATTGATTATGTTTCGGGGGTCACGCTGGCTCTCTAGCCTGGAGGTCGGGTGTTCGATCCTGCATTGGCCGAGAAAGTTCTTTCAGATTTTCCGTCGTGGTTCCCCTTGTCAGTGATGCAGGACGGAGTGCCTAACAAGGACAGCTGTCTATTCGTTCTGATGGGACGAAAAACGAGGTCCCGTGTACATGTTGGCGTGCAAGTAAAAGATTCCTTGACAGTTGGAATTCGATATAAGAGTAGACCGTAGTGCCGCTGTCCAGGTAAAATTTCCCTCATAGCACACTGTATGGCGTATGCCCGTCTTCATTAGCCCAGTTCGGAGCAGAACAGTAGGACGTTAAACCCCTTTATATGAAGCTGTAGTTTGATCGTATTTGAATAACATTATGCATCCAAACACCAATTTATGTCTGGGGTCTTAGATTACCCCTTGTTGATGACAATGTTTTTCGTGCGACGTATCCGCACAAGGGTTAATGAATATGGTAATTAAGTTTTGTAGATCAAAAGAATAAGAGTGGATAGGACGATCAGTGAAAATTTCAATCTGATTAAAATACAGATCTATATTTTGTTTCGTTTTTTTTATACTTTC